TTCTAAGATTATTTAGACACCACTGACAAACGGTGAAGAAAAACATGGTGAGGAAACCTAATAACCTTATAATTTCTAATCATAAGTTTGAAATCGCCAACCCGCATTCATCTAGCGTGGCGATTAATCCTCAAACCTTCTCCGTGTGAGAAGAGCCCTTTGGTCAGCAGTGGGCACTTATAGGCTGTTGATGTTGTGTCTTAGTAAAGTCGATCTAGTAAATAGATCGAGTCGTGATTTCGTTTGTCTTAATCATTTTTGTAAATAGGTACACCAGCCCTACATCAGCCCTACATACAGTACAATTAGTGACGTGTCTACAGATGTGCAGTAAATACTGCACTGTTAAATGTCGTACTATGACATATATCAATTATTGTGTTTATTATGAAATTAATTCTCTAATACATGGCTGACATGTTTATATTATTATTTAACATGTGTTTACAAGACATTGCCAACATATTTAATGAGTGACAATTAATGTCTATGGTCTGAGGCTAGAAAATTGTATCATTTGATTACTGTATGTTCAAGTTTAAGGGCAAGTTAAACCTGTAATCGGTTTAGCTACTTCATTGTAGTATGTACTGAATATCCTATAATGTGGCTGATTTAATTCTCTTAGAAAAAAAGGCCTATTTATTAAAAGATGTAGATTAAAATATACTTTAACTGCCAAGTTTAAAATGGTGAACGTCAAACCTCCACTAGAGTCAGGCACCGGTGACAGACGTAGCGCTCTAAGGGTTAAAAAATTAATGTTGTGTTAATGATTTTTTTTACATTTAAATGTTTAATTGAGATTAAATTGAGTCTTTTTTATGGGATAAAACGAGCTGACGGATGGTAAGCAATTGGCGCTGCCCATGGACACGAACACGAGAGGCGCTACAAGTGCGTTACCGGCGTTGTGGGATTAATAATTTGAGGATTGTTGGGGATTCGGGTGGGAAAGGCGAGGAGGGGTAATTGGGCCTTTGGATTATGCAATCAATTTCCATCACGTTGGGTGATTCCTGAAGAAGGTTTGGTGTATAATTTATTACCTATAGTTCTGACTACGTGGGCGAAAAACATACTTTAATACTATACGGATACAATAGGTACACGTATTCGATTCCCGGAAGAAACTGGTAAAAAAGGCACTTGTATGGTTTTACTGCATAGGGTTCGTGGTTTAAAACATTACATTTATATGAACATCAGAGAACTTTCTAGCGTGTTCAAAAACTAAGATAAACGTTTTTCATCTTAGAAGTGTTAGCAATATCTCTATCTGTTATCTATCCTCTCCAGGTATCAGATAGTGTATGATCTAATCGTTAACTGATAACATGGAAAAAAATGATAAACAGCTGATATTCTGTAGTTTTTGTGATGTTAAGAAATCATTGATACAAGAGATATGAGCTGTATAAGAGAGACTTGAGTTCCTGTAATAAAGTCATCATCATCAACAGCCTATATATGCCCACTGCTGAGCAAAGCCTCTTCTCACACGGAGAAGGTTTAAGCATTAATCACCACACACAACGCGGGTTGACGATTTCAAACTTATAATTAGAAATTATAAGCCCAAGTTTCCTCACGATGTTCTTTTACAGTTTGTCAGTGGTGTCCAAATGATTTTAGAAAGAACATACATGTAACTTGAAAAAAGTCACATTGGTACCTGCCGTTGATAGGTTTCGAACCTGTCTCATGCATGAGAAGCTGACACGTCTTAAACCTTCGGGCCACCACGACATCTTCAATAAAGTGTGCACTGTTATATCCAAGATAAGTCGTCATGTCCCTTGTTAAATTTCGTCTAAATCTGCTCAGTAATTCTGCACTGTTGTACTGCACGGTTGGCGCTGTGTCTGGGTAACTGGCTGCCGCGCAACGTGCCGCGGATTTGATTCCCGCACGGAGCAACTCTGTGTTCCATCCACAGATTGTTCCGGGTCTAGGTGTGATGTGTATGTGAACTTGTATGTTTGTAACCGCACCCACGACACAGGAGAAAATCTTTGACTTTTTTTCATAAAACCATCACAGTACGTCCGTGCAGTAGGTACAGTACACGTATCAAACAAAGTTATCTATTGTACCTAGACTCGAGGCCTCGAGTGTAGCCGGCTAGACCTGACCAACAAACTCTAGAATATTTCATAAGCCAACTGGTCCCATAACTCCTTACTAATAAACACTATTACATAAATCTACGAATAAGGTCAGCCCAGCCGATTTCTCTTGTTAGCCCTTTGTCTATAAAATGACCCAAACGTGCCCTTTGTATGCGAACTTGAACCTTATGCAGGAAGTAATAGAGGTGTGTCCGTGTATTGTGTTCCGCGAGACAATTTCGCCGTTATCTCCGCACGGTGTGTAAGCGTAGAAAGTGTCCCATTGGTAGGGTGGCTATGTGTTTGAAGAGGTCAGGATAATACTAAGTTTGGTTAAAATTGATTTAATATTTTTCTTCATAAATCGGACTTTCATAAAACGTAATAAATAATAAATTTTATTTAGTAAATTTTGTCTACTTCCACAACCTTTCTCCAAAACTGCATTTATCTCAACGAGTTTCTTAAAGAAAACATGCCTCAAGCGTTTAACTAATAAAATATAAACTACGAGCAACACCCAAACATAACATCTACTCATATAATATGAATGTATTAGCTCGAGAAACTATTTGCAATACAAACAAACTGACAGCACCAATCCATTTGCAAATAAACGCCAGCAACCAACAAAAACAATGAGACGTGTCAATATGACCAGTTCCGTCAGTACATAGCTGGTATAACCACCTTCAAAGGTGAAGGTCATCGTGGATACTAGGCACAATATTGTGAATCACCACTCCACTGAGATGCCACCGCGATGACGTAACAGAAATGTCCTTTTAAACAACCTGACTTCGCCATTTTAGGAAATTAATGATGATTGTCTTAGCCAAATTTAGATAAGCCCCATAAAATGGATTTTGCCCTCAACCTGATTTTTAGTTAATTTACTAAAGGCAAATACAATTTTTAAGTGTCGTTTATTTACTTAATTTTAGCTTAACGCATTCATGTGTTTTTCTATTAACTTAACTATTAACTAAAGAAAATTCTAGATACTTAGACAATACTTAAAAACACGGCAATAATGCACAGGACAATTAAATCCATTAAAAATAATTACATTCCGGAGCTCAATCATTAATCAGGAGACTTATAGCTAATTGTATAAAAATGGATACAATGCTAAATCACGAATTATTTAACTGACTATTGTTCAATACAATCATATATTTCTTACAACACCTGAGCAAGTAAAAACTAGTTTTTGTAGAATGCAGGAAGCATAAACGACTAATTCACTTATATTTGTAATTACCACAAAAAATACAATAGATGTTTGTCTTGGAACATAACCTCGCGAATTCCTCGAACGATTTTGATGCGATTTTCCTTTCCGATAATGGACTGGCTGAGATAGACGTTTTAAATGCCCGTAGGCGTTTTATTACTGCATCGAAAATCTCCACTTTTTTCTGCCTCTTAAATCGATATATTTAATGCGATCATCGACGTTTTTGCACTAATACCTTGGCATTTAAACACTATAATATAATATCCTTAACATTTAGAATGTCTAGTATTAAATGTAGAACTATGCAACACTAAATGCTTGCTAGAATTAGTATTAAATTATTCGAATTCGCACCATCTTCTATAATTATTCGGATGGCGTAAATCTGCATTTTAATCAATTAGATATATTATTTCCAAATGGAAATATGGCAACATCTATAAGCAGAACAATTTTTAATTAAATTATAAAATAATGTACAATAAAAAGCAGCTAAGTAAAGGTATAGGATTATTCCGACAAAGTCCCGAAAGTATGGTGGTCAAGCAAGTACAATGCCTCCCATTTCACTGCGTCTGCGCGGCGATAGATCGCGTCATGTGTGCACCGTGTCATTTGAATGGGTAATTGATCGCGTGTCAACAAATAGGTACCGATCAGATATACCAGGTATTCAGGCCATATTGTACGGACATTATTTAAATGTAGTTCAAGTTTCTTCGGCATTTCGTGTCAAATTATTTTTTGTGCACACCTAGAAAGTATTGTGTGACGGGGCGCATAAACAAGCGTCGGAACTAAACGGTTTTACGACGCAAACTACAAGTCATTGATAATAGCGACATTTTGCGTACAACAATTGCATTTTTTAGGTCTTACAGAACAGAAATAAAAAATGCTTAAATATTCAAAGCCTAACATCAAAACCCAAATACAGAAACCAGCATAATATTGGTCAACGACGCTGAGATTTAGTAATACCCGCATTGTTATATAAAGAATACCTACAATAAGACAATGTACAACGTTTTTTAATTGATCTAATGCATTCACGCGTTAAAACTAATACTGTAACAAAACATTGTGCAAAATAAAATAGTTTTATAATAACAACTGGTTATAGATTAAGAAATAATATAATTTATCTGTGTTGTGTCTTGTGTCGCGCAACCGCGCGCGAGACTCGACGCGCCAGTACTCCGCCGCGCGCGCCACCGAACGGACGTCTGTTTCCAATAACGGTTATTTCCGAAATAACCGAGCGATTGTAAACTTACTACTGTTATAGTTATACGATTCTCCTTGTATACTACCAGTTATTGTGTGAGTTTTCTCCAGTTTTGTATTAATAAAAGTTTTTGTGAATACGATTTTAGTAAACTTATCTATTGTAAGATCTAACACATGTTTTAGTTATCGCCTGTTCGATTTCGTGTCCCGTCTAGCATATTCTTTGCTATCTACAATAGATAGTGGATTACAACATTGTACCGTAAAATCTCAACGATATTTTTTTCTTCCGCAGGTAAACGGGACAAGTAAAATGGACCGCGGAACACCGATAGTGATGTGCTAGTGTTGTGAATAACGGTTAATAACGAGTTAATAGTGGTTGATAGCTATGATGTGAGACAGTTGTGGTTGTCAAGATGCCGTCAGACAGTGGTTCGGCGTGGTCGCCGCCAGCATCCAACAGTGAGAGAAGATTGAGCAACTCGTCCGATGGAAGCGCCGGGAGCGGATATTCTAAAGCTGTAAGTCGTTTTTTTATTCAAAACTAGAATGTTTGGTCAGCCTCACGTGTTATTTTTTACTCAATTGCTTTCAAGTCTCGTTCGTGCAATACTGTTAGTATTACGTGCAAGATTTTTATAGTCCACTCTTATTCGTAATCTCGGCCATATTATAAAACGCGAGGTCATTTTTGAGTGTGTGTAAAGTACAAAACTTACCGTTCTTTTTTAATACGTTTCAAAATATTTTCTTCCGTGAATGTACTCTTAAATAAGGCTGTGAACAGAATTGACAAACAAAAAAAAAAAAACAACATAAATACCTAAGTTGCTACCTAATCGATTTCAGATTGAGACATGTCATTATTATATCGTATTTATTGAGAAGCAATAGCAACACCAACTGCTATCTACCTAAATATTGGATGATAACTCGTTTAAAAGCAAAGAATCAGTTTTATAATCCTTCTTCACAGTATCAATATACATGAGTCATTTTGTTAGTAGTGAGACTGGTAATCAACTATCTTAATTATGTATAATATGTATTTAGTTCCTTCTTTATAAGTAAGTTGTTTGAGATAAGAGCTACTCAACTGATAAACGCTGTAAACACAACGATGCCGTTTTTTATAAAAACTTGACATAAACATTGTCAAATAGGTAATATTATATTGAATAAAGGCTGTATGTAGCTGGTTTCTTCGTGTTTATTGAATAATAAAATACTCATTCTTAGAATTTTCCTATAATTTGGCCTCGTCCTAGTTGCTTACCTTCAGTCATAGATTTATTATGTCATAATTATCGTCTTAATCATAACAGTTAAAGCAAAAGCAATCTCACAACAATGTGTAAAAAATCTATTCAGATTTCATTAATGTTTTTGCTCAATTTGAAAGTGTTGAAAATTAAAAATATATTCACGTTCAGAAATGATTTATCGCTATTTATCTACAACAACAAAAAACGACTGCCTAAGGAACTGGTTTCACTCAATTAATTCACGCCAAATAGTAAACATTACACGTTATTTAAATTACGAAAAAGCTCTCGACAAAAACGGTTGTTTTCTTTAAAAAATCACATTATCACATTCTCTTATTAAACAGCGACTTACGCCAGCAAATTTGTCAATCACCAATTGATTAGCAACGGCAGACCAAATAAGCCAATATTTAATTTTTAAATAACGTTTAGCCGAAGGTAAATAGAAGGCAGCGATGCGTTACGAACAACTTTCACTGTCGTTATTCGCCGTGGATAACTAGTTATTTTTTATATTTTATTTAAATAATAATCCGTTATCCGTTCTCTTGTTACGCACTATTCGGTGGAATAATGTAGTATTTGTTTTGTTACATTATTTTATTTTCTATTTTTTATTCGAGTTGAATAACCGTAATGTGTATCTTTTTATTACTTTGTGCTCTAAAATTGAATTATTACGGATTTAAGAAACTTCTATTTGGAAATTAACTGTACCTAGTTTTTGAACGGTCAGTGTTAGTTACTATGCTGTTTTAAAAAAAGATAAAACGACTCGATATAATAAATAGCCTTGAAAATGAATGAGCAAGTGAAATTCCGATTGCGACACTTGCAGGCGTCAGGTGTCAATGGAAACATTTCGCAATGCACACAAAATTCTCAGCACTTATGTAAAAGTTTCGTATATTGTGTGAGAATGGTCATATTTTTTACGTATTTTTATTAACCAGTACATGTGCAACTTCTAAGATAAAAATCCTGAATTCTTTGCCAGATTCTAGAATAAATTTTAATATACCTATAACCTAAGTTACCTTTTAGATTTGTTAAAAAATCCTCAAAATATTAATTGGTACCTCCAGTCGTCCTGTGTGTAAAACGAGGTTAATCCCCAGCAGTGGGGGAATTACAGACCGACTCTCTATTACAGATTTGCCCCTTATTATATAGAATTAAACACATAACTCCGTTTACAACTAACATGTTATGCATCCAACACAATTTATCGTTCCTTTATTCCAATTTTATGCATGAGTATTGTAGTTTTTTACATTTGATTACGTTTTTATGTATTCGATTCTACTAAATAGTAATAGGTACATACAAAACTAGAATGGTAAGGTCATGTATGTTAAGTAGAAAGCAAATGACTTGCATTGATTGCGTAAGAAGTGTAATCGCCATTTATTTTGGCGGTTTTCTGAAGTTCATTGAACTTGTTAATCCGAGTGCTAGAGATATACCTCTAGAAGAGTGACAAAAATGTTTACTACTGCATGAACTGTTTTTAGTCGCATTTTTGTTGTTCTTTCATTGTAATTTTATTAATGTTTGTAGGTAGGTAGGTAGGTAGATATATAACGAATTTTTATAGTTAATCTCAATCCTAAAGTACTGTAACTATAGTACCAACGTACTCTAACTATATGTAGGTATTTTTAATTGTGGTTATTCGTATTACCATCTACTTAAATAGGTTGAAAACTTTTTTGACATATATAACTTAGGGGACAGTACGATTTCTTTTATCGTGAATGCGTTTAAAAATACAAACATGCCTTCACATCCCACGCAACCCCGGAACAATAATAATTGACAGTTGTTGTTTTTTTTAATCATATTATTTATTTACAAATATCTCTTTTATATCATACGATCTTTCATAAACTGAGAAGCAAAACAAGATACACGTAATAAAAATGTAGGTATGATTGATGTCTATCAAGACAATACTAATTTTATAAGTTAATTTCATAAGTGTATCCTGGATAGGAATAGTAATTCTGTCAGTCTTATTGCGGAGATACCAAAGTTGTTTTTTCGGAATTAGATGAGTCATTAAGATATAGGTAAGACATTCTAGAATTTATAAGACAAGACTAAGCGCCGGTTTCACCACCTCTATATAAGTACCTAAATCACTCGGAAACGCCTCCATTTTTTTTTTATAATTTAAATTTTAAAACGTGATTTAGACTTTCATCGTTCCACGTGTTATTTCTCATTTATCCCTGCGTATATGCCTTTAAACGGCCTTGCATAAACTTATCCCAAACTGTGAGAAATTATCAACCTAATTATTTTATAATAAAATCGAAAATCGATTAAATAAAGTCGACAAATTGTGGTAGCTAGTCGTGCTGCTGTCAGTCTCATGGGTTGACGTTGACTAGTTTCATCAGCCCGGTTCTCCTATAATCTTATGCGCACAAACTCGACTACAAGTGTGTCGGACATCGTGTAACCAGCCTTAATTATATTGCAAAAATAACACTCCGGTTCTCGATACAGGAATCGATTGATACCGATTAAATCGGTCATAATCGTTGTATCATCGCATCGAGTTATTGAGAATCGAGGATGTTTGCGATTAATCGAAATTAGTGTGCTATTTCTTCTGTTTCCCACGCTACTTAAAATCTATAGGTAAATTATTAATATTTATTTTTAATATTGAAATAGATTGACTTAGAGTATAGTGCTCCTAGGTAGCCTAGGTCCTAGGTGGTTGAATGCAAAGGGGTGAATATCGAATTGCCCAACAGTCAACGGAAACGTTGTGATGAATAATTAAATTCTTGTCGTCTGTTATTAATATTATTTACGTAGAAGCCATAAGTCATTCAATGTCTGTTTATAATAATCAGATTTATAGTAATTGTATGTTAATTACTTTAAGTAGAAAAATAAATAAGTACGTGTCTATAGATTATAAATGCTAAATAATTTCAATACCTACTACGTATGAAAAATCATTGTTATTTATAATAAAATTATACTAAACTAAACTTTGCACGGTTGGGCAATAGGCTGGTATCGGTATAACGTTTTATGGGTTCAATTCTCGGAAGAAATTGCCACCATGCGAAGTCGTAGATAAAAACTAGTGTTTTTTAAAATAATACCATTTTAATACAACGATTTGGTTACTCTTTAATAATACAAGTTCATAAGAAGAGGTCAGACTCTCAAAGTGGTCCTTTCTCTGCGCAAGGGCATATAACATGCAACCGGTCTCATTATCAGTGATTACACTGTACCGATACTGTGTATCAAGGTGATATTAGTTAACAAGGGCAATGTTTAACTTGGTCTTAAGTGTCATAATAATATTATCTAATAAACGACCTTATACTTGTAACAGTTGCAATTGTGTCTGGACGGTAGTGTATCTGTTTATGTCTCAAATAGAATAGATATGTATTGAACTTTTCTTTGCCCTTAGTATTTATTATTTGTAACATAACATAACATTACGCCTTTTATTCCCGAAGGGATAGGCAGAGGTGCACATTACGGCAGTTAATGCCACTGTACAATGTAAAACCCACTTTTCACTATTTATGCTATGAGTCCCATGTAATAGAGGTTGAGACTATTGCCATATACCGGGCATTTCCAGACTCCATATTACTACTGAGATTTTTTTTAAACTCAGTAATACTCCCAAAATCGAACTTGTTTTCAACACTAAATGAAGTCTTTATTTTAAGTGACAGAATAAGAATGCAATATTAAACAACATGTAGTCTAGTACAGAGTCGTGACGGATTTCTACTCGATCGATCTCAGATCATTTGAATACCACACCTATTTTATCTAGAGGAAACCCGTGGGAAAATAATAGAGTAATCAATATTGAACTATTTTGCATTACAATTAGGTAGATAGAAACCTACACCTTAGAAGTAATCGGCCTTTGTTTGCGACACGCGCCTCAAAGGACCATGGTATTAAACATTTGGTCCTTTCGTCCGAATTGTTATTGAACACAAAATACCATGCAAGTCCTTTAGTTCATTGTTTCGTGTACTGAATAGTATATAATTCCTCAATAAACTACCTACGTTTAAAAACTTATATTAATATACTTATACATATTATTACCTTCTCCTAAATGTAACAACCACTTACCTGAAAATCGCGTCAAAATCGGTTGAGCCATTCGCGAGATAAACGCGCACAAACATAGGTACATAGACACAGGTTTAACAGTGAACCTCCTTTTTTTTGAAAAATCTTTAATATTA